GGAGAGGACCTTCCCCTGCTGGGGATACACACGCCACACTGGCACTGCCCCTCTGCATGGGCATTGCTGCTCCTCCCCAGGCACACACTTGCTCTGGGTCTGGTTCCTCCTCTGCCATCACAGCAGTTCTGTCCTGAGCTGTGGAACCTCCCAATACTTTTATCCTTGCAAAGACAAGGCAGGAGAGCTGCAGTCCCACAGCAGGGAGGGATGCTCCTGCCTGAGGATGAGCAGTGACTCAGCCCCTCATGGAAAACACCTCAAAAGCAGATAGTAAGTTGTTTCTATGCCCCATCTGAAGTTCCATAAATCTACATCACCATCCCAAACAGGCTGGAGTCACTGCTCAGCTGAAGGAGCACCAATAGCCAAGATCCAATCCCAGTGCTGAGACCCAACTGGCACAGAAACACATTCCCTGACAGGCAAAATCATACAACCATGGAATGCTTTGGGTTGGAAGGACCTTAAAGCTCATCCCATCCCACTCCCTGCCACGGGCAGGGACACCTTCCACTAGCCCAGAGCCCCATCCAACCTGACCTGGAACTCTCCCACGTGGGGAGATCACAACCTCTCTGGGCTCCACATGGAATTCACCCCAACCAAGTGGGTTCCACACACACCACAATCCACAAACGAAAAGCCTGGCAAGGTGAGGGCTGTGATCCCAAGGGCCAGATCCCAGAGGAGCCGCGAGCTCGCAGGAACGGAGCCTGCACACCCGGTGGCAGCAAAGAAACGCGGAGGGATGCAGGCAGGGCGGGCAGCAGTGCTGGGATGAACTGGGATGCTCCGGGAGATACGGAGGATGCAGGGACGCAGGCAGGGCTGGCAGCAGTGCTGGGATGCTCCGGGAGATGGGGAGGATGCAGGGACTCAGGCAGGGCTGGCAGCAGTGCTGGGATGCTCCGGGAGATGGGGAGGATGCAGGGACTCAGGCAGGGCTGGCAGCAGTGCTGGGATGCTCCGGGAGATGGGGAGGATGCAGGGACTCAGGCAGGGCTGGCAGCAGTGCTGGGATGCTCCGGGAGATGGGGAGGATGCAGGGACTCAGGCAGGGCTGGCAGCAGTGCTGGGATGCTCCGGGAGATGGGGAGGATGCAGGGACTCAGGCAGGGCTGGCAGCAGTGCTGGGATGCTCCGGGAGATGGGGAGGATGCAGGGACTCAGGCAGGGCTGGCAGCAGTGCTGGGATGCTCCGGGAGATGGGGAGGATGCAGGGACTCAGGCAGGGCTGGCAGCAGTGCTGTGATCAGCTGGGATGCTCTGGGAAATGGGGAGGATGGAGAAGCATGGGCAGGGCTGGCAGCACTGCCGGGATGCTCCAGGAGATAGGGAGAATGGAGAAGGCAGGCAGGGCTGGCAGCAGTGCTGGGATCAGCTGGGATGCGCTGGGAAATGGGGAGGATGAGGGAGCGTGGGCAGGGCTGGAACCAGAGCCGGGATGAGCTGGGATGCTCCAGGAAATGGGGAGGATGAAGGAGCATGAGCAGGGCTGGCAGCAGCACCGGGATGAGCTGCGAGATGGGAAGGAAGGAGGAGCTCAGGATGCTGCAAGCACCAAGGGATGGGCAGGACCCTCCCAGAGCCAGAGAGTCTCAGGAAGGCAGAGGTGATGCCAAAGCAGCAGGTGATGTAAAAGGTGAGGTCCCACCTTGCTTCATAATCATCATTTCTTGGCTCCTGGGGTGCCTCCCTGAGCAGCAGCTCTGCGGCTGCACCGGCACTGCTCTGCTCACAGCAGCCTTGCAAATCCTCTCTTGGAGCCCCTTTAGGCACTGGAAGAGGCTTTAAGGTCTCCCCAGAGCCTTCTCTTCTCCAGGCTGAACACCCCCAGCTCTCTCAAGAGCAGAGCTGCTGCAGTCCTTGGAGCATTTAGTCACCTTCCTCTGAACTTGATCATCAAGTCCAACCATTGCCCTGGTCTAACCACTGACCACCAGCACAGGGGAAAGTCCTCAGCCTTGGAAAAGCCTCATGGGATCCCTGCAAGGTGTTGGGAACCTCATCCAAACAATGTATTAGGAAGAAATACTCCCCTGTGAGGGTGCTGAGGCACTGGCACAGGTTGCCCAGAGAAGCTGTGGCTGCTCCATCCCTGGGAGTGTTCCAGGCCAGGTTGGATGGGGCTTAGAGCAACGTGGGCTAGTGGGAGGTGTCCCTACCCATGGCATGGGGTGGATGAGATAAGGACCAGGCAATGCTTATCCATCCAGCACCAGACAGTGAGGACAGTGCTCTGACAGTGTGAGCAAGTCACAGCCAACCCTGACAACATCTCCCAGCCACTGGGAACACCCCCAGGTGCTCACATCCATTGCTCACATCCATCCTTTGCTCTGAGCGCGTCGGAGTGTTCAAAATGCTTTTGCACGACTCCAGGTTTGAAGGAATGAGCCTTCCCCAGGGGCAGCTCAGCCTGGCTCCAGCTCGTCAACAGTTACTCACAGCCAGAGGGAAGGAGAAGTGGAATGGAGGAGGTAAACTGAGTCCCACAGCTCTTCACTGAAATGCTCGTTCAGACTCATGAGTGTGAGAGAGATCACGACTGTTCTGTCCTCTCAGAGCCATGGCCAAGGAGCAACTCCTCTCTGGATGTGCTAAGAGTTAGCTCTCTCACATTATGTATAATCCCACTGCTATTTTTCAAGCCTGCAGAACACAGATTAACCCCCTAAAACTCCCAGGGATATTTCCACAGGGTTTCACGGCAGTGTAGTTACAGCGAATGATTTTGGGGCTGCTGTGGATGACAGTGACAGACAAATTGATGGCAATGAAGTTATTTTGTCTCCTTTTGCAGCTGACTGCATTTGCATTGGTATTTTCATGGTACAGATGCCACCTTTCATCTAACATGATTAATGCTGTTGTAAATACAGAGAAAGAACCAGCTGCTTCTCAGCTTCTCCCGAGCAGCTGAGGGGGAAAAACCTCCTTTTGTTCCAGCACCTCCTCTGCAGGCTTTATGGAGAGGCTTTTCTTTCAAAAGGTTACAGAAATGCCGTGGCTAGAGCTGGAGTATCCTGCTTTTCTCCCTGGGATCTGTTGTAGTCAGTGTTTGGGGCCAGCCCAGGGTCCCCCATCAGCCAGGGATGGGACAGGGCATCGTTTTGGGTTGTGTCTTTGCAGGGTCCTCGTGAGCACAGATTGTGTCTCGACAGAGAAGGGGCTGGACAGCTTGGAGGGGTCCAAAACCAGCCCTGGGACCCCACAGATCCTCCAGCAGAATCATGGAATGGTTTGCGTTGGGAGGGACCTTAAAGCTGATCTCTGAGAGAGGGAATTCCACTCCCTGACCTGGCCAGGGACACCTTCCACCAGCCCAGGGTGCTCCAAGTCCCATCCAACCTAACCTGCAACACTCCCAGGGATGGAGCAGCCACAACTGCTCTGGACAACCTGTGCCAGTGCCTCCCCATCCTCACAAGGAAGAATTTCTCCCCAACATCCAAACTAAACCTAATCTTTTCAGCAACAAGGAGACTGAGCTGTAGCAGCACTTTAACCCGTGAGCCTTAAGGGCTGAGCTGGTTCATCACAGCCTGAACACACCACATATCCCCAGGGCACAGAAACCACAGCTGGGACTGGGAAATGAAGGGTGAAAAATGGGGCAAAATCCAGGTGTGAAATCCAACTGGCAAAGGAAAAGCACCTCGGGAGCCTCGGCAGGAAGGTGCCGTTTGCCATGCAGCCACCGAGAGGTGCCAACAGCTCTTCCAAAGCCTCAGCAGCTATTCCAAAGCCTCTGGAGCTGTGGCTTTACACCACGCTCCTTCCTTTCTCCCCTTTCTTCAGCCATGCCCCCAGTCAGCCCAGTTCCAGCTCTCACCAGGGTGTGAAAACACATCCAGAACATCACAGTTGGGAGGAGTTGGATTAACCCTCTGTGTTCACACCAGTCCCGAAGAGAAGCACAACAGGGTTTGCCTGGTAGCACAAGGGACAAGGCTGGCACTGCCCAAAGCAGCTGCTGAAGAGGCTGGAGGCAGAGCACAGGGATGCCAAGAGGAGTGAGAGCCTTTTATTGCCACCAATTCCACAACCCAGTGGTCCTTCTTGGCAGGGATGGATAACAAAGCCACCACATGCTTTCCAGCAGCTCCAGCAGCTGCTCCTGCCCATTGGGGATGCTGCTTTTATGGAAAATCTTGGCATTGATTTCAAGGGGGGCTGTGCCAGGAAGCCTGACTGCTCCATGAGGGGCACAGCCACGGCTGCTCCCAGCTCAGGTGTGACAGGAGGAGGAGGAGGAGGAAGAGGAGGAGGAAGAGGAGGAGGAGGAGGAAGAGGAGGAGGAGGAGCAGGATGAGAGCATCCCTACAGGGAGCCATGGAGACACTGGGAAGGGGCACTGGGGAGAGGAGAGTGTCCCAGATCCTGTGAGCCTCTACCACTGATCCCAAGGAATGGGATTTAGCCTAAGATTTCACCCTCCCACCTGAATTCCCTGTCTCCAGCTTCAGTCTGATCCCCAGGGTGGAAGAAATCCCCAAAGAGAACCAGCTACCAGTGTTGAGCTAACCTGGCAGCACCCCCAGGGATGTTTAGTGGGGATAAGGGAGAGGATTTAACCCCAGTGTGATGCTTGCAAACCCCTGGGCAGTGAGCAGTGCTGGGGAAGGCTGTCAGTGCCTCCTGGTGCAGCTCAGTACCCCAAAATCCCTGTGGGCACCTATTCAGCCCCAGCAGCACCCCCTGGGGTACACAGCTGCCTCCTGTCCAAGGGATTCACTGATCCCAGCGAGGCAGAAACACAGAGCCACTGCAGAAACCATTGAGATTACAAGAAATCTCTCACCTCTGACAAGCACAACCACGAGGAAAAGGCACCAGCACCAGGAATTTCTCCCTCTGCCCACACTTGTGCTTCCAGGCAAGTTTCAGTCAATCAACATATCTCCAACCCCCCGGCACGGGACACACAAGCTCCAGGAGGCAGAGGCACATCCAGAAGCTGCTGCAAACAGAGCAGGAGTGACATTGTGGCTTACCTGGCACTTTGGAAGGTCGCAGATGCCGATTTTCCAATGGCCCCAAATCCAACTCCCACTGCCAAACCCTCTGAAATAGGAAGAGAAAAAAACCAGTAAGGTGAAACACTACAACATCCCTGAGAACATCCCTACTCCTGTACTCCATCAGAGCTGGAAGCAGAATTCCAGGCCAGGTTGTTATCTTGCTGTTTTAATCCAAGTGCATTGAATCCCAGCTCAGTGCCTCCCTGCCCAGGGATTCCCCACTCTGAACCCAGACCTGCTGTTTCTTGGGAAGCCAACACAGAAGGGAGAGGCTCCTAGATGGGTGAGTGCACCAGAGGGGGAAAGATCCCAATTCTCACCAGCTCAGATGGGATTTTAACAAGGAGCAAAGCAGTGCAAAGCACCAAAGTCTGTGCAAAAACACTCAGGCTCAGCAAATCTCACTGCAGAACTGGTACCATGGGGAATTGCAGAGGGACCAAACCTCAGCTTCTCCCAGAAATCCCCTGGGAGCAAGGATAGAGCAGGATCAGGCTCCCAGCAATACTTCAGCTCTGTGCCCCAAACCAGCACAACACCTGTACAGTCTCCAGAGCAGAACAAACCCCAAACTCCACAAGGAAATTGCAGGTTATTGTAAATCACAGTTAATCATATAATTTTAGGTTAGTTGTTCCCATAAATCCCAAAGAAAACAGCCAAGGAGCCTTCCCAAGAGGGTGCAGAGCCCTGTGATCCACTGCTGCCTCCTCTGTGCAGCTCCTGGGGGTCCTTGCCTCATTCTTTCCTCCTCCATTCTTCCCTACTCAAACTTCTCCCACCCTCCCACCTCTGGCACAGCTCCCTCCTCCCTCTCAGCAAACAATCTGATTTCCAGAAAGCCCCAAACCACTGCTCATTTTTTCTCCTTGCTTTAAAATCCCTATTTTCCTGCTTTTGTAGCCTCATAGCATCACTCCCCTCTAAGCAAAGTGTCTGGGGAACATTCAGAGGACCAAATCAAACCTGGTTGTGCACCTGGAGAGGTTTTACAGCCCTCAAGGAAGGGATGACCTGGCCCAGGGGCCAGTGGGGACTGCTCAGGTGAGCATCAAACAGGTGGAAAATGCCACTGGGAGTGTTTACCTGTGCAGCAGAGGATGAGGTCTCAGCTGAAGAGGACTCTGTGTGTGTTTGTGGTCTTCTGAGTTCCCAGTTGCCTTGGAAACACACCATAAAAAGCAGCACTAACTGGGGTAATCAGGGCATTTGCATCCTCCAGTCCAGGCTGAGCATGAACTCAATAGCTCAGAGCCTTGACCCAAGGCTCAGCATGGAGACAGGGAAAGGCAGAGCAGCAATCAGCCCTAGGTACAGGGTCACGGGGCAAGGAGACACCTCATTGTCCCTAAAATCCCACAACTGGGTGGTAATTCCATGGAGTGAAACAGGTAGAGGACTGAGACACGTGGGGCACACACCAGACCTGGGGAGGTTCACATGCTCATGCAAAGTGCTCACACTGCCCCAAAATCATCCAGCTGGGAGCTGGGTGAGCATGGACAGCAAACAGAGGGAGCTTTCTGCCAGCTTTGCCCTCACTCCCAGCTCAGCCCTCTCCTGGGGGTGCTGCACTTGCTCACATTATAAATAGTCCAATTGACTTCTTCAGGTGGGAAAAGACATAAAAAAAGGGAAAGGTTAATGCTTCTGTGTCAACCACTTAGATACACATTGAGCCAGAGGCTCTGGGAAATGGCTGTCTGGGACATTAGGTCATGGAGATGGGAATGGGAGAGCAGCTCTGATGCTGCAGGCTCAGGCAGCAGCTGGAAAAATAAACAGCACTATGGAGCTTCTGGTTCTTAGCATCACTGTGAGCACAGGCAGACAGGAGCAGAGTCATAGGATCATGGAATGGGTTGGGTGGGAAAGGACAGCACATCAATGGGGAGACTGCAACAGGGAAAGGGGTGCAGGACCAGTGGGAATGTGCAAAGTGAGCCTGGAGGCAGCAGCAGGAGGGATGCTGTGAGGAAAGGTAACCTCACCTCTCTGCCCAGCAACCCCTCAACACCCCTTGAAGTCCTGTTTGCAGGATGCTCAGAATCCTGGAATGGCTTGGGTTGGAAGGATCTTAAAGCTCATCCCATCCCACCCCCTGCCATGGGCAGGGACACCTTCCACTAGCCCAGGTTGCTCCAAGCCCCATCCAACATGGCCTGAAACACTCCCAGGGATGGAGCAGCCACAGCTTCTCTGAGCAACTTGTGCCAGTGTCTCCCCATCCTCTGAGCCAAGAATTCCTTCCCAATATCCCATCTAAACCATTCCTAGGCAACCCTGAGTGACTAAAGGATTCCCCATGGGTCACCCCTCTGCCAAGCCAAAGCCCAACAGCTTGGGATGTGAGAGCAGAAGGGAAGCATCCATGCCCCACAGGAACCTTTTCCATGTCCGAGAGGGTTTTTCCTTGGAAAAAACAGCAGCTGGAGCAGTGTCAGCCCCTCCTACAAACAGTGATGGGGCTGGAGAGGCTCCACACAGCTCTGTTAGATGCAGAGCTGCTGGAGAAGGCACTAGGCCAGGAGTTCACTCAGAGCTCTTTGCAGAACAAAGAGAAGAAAAAATGCCCAATCTCAAGCACTGTCAGGAAAATGCTTCAATTTAACCTAAACCAAGGGATTTGCCTCTCCTGGGCTTCCTTGGCTTTACAATTCAAGACACTTTATCCTGCTGAGGCATTACCCAGGGATCAGCCTAATCCTGAGCTAACTCAGGGCTCAGCTCTGCACTCTCAGCCTCACTGCTCCTCTCACAGGCATCTCCTCCCTGCTTCTTTTCCAGGGAAAGAACCCCTCAAACTGAAAGCAATGACTATGCTCGAGGGTCACTGCAGCCACTCCTCTAATGCCAGGCTATCATGGATGGGGTTGGCAGCCTGCAGGCTGCACTGGCAAGGGCAAGAAGCTTCATATCCATGATATCCACGAGAGATCTCTGTGCATGCCAGAGCTGCTATCCATACCTGACCTAAACCAGAGCATCTTCATAGCACCTGGGACCACCCACTAGCTCCAAAGCCAAGGAGAACCCATTTTCCCTGCCCTGCAACTTCCAGAATTGTCCTCTCTGGAAGTGTTCAAGAGGTGTCTGGACGTGGCACTTGGGGGTTTAGAGGTGCTGATGGTGGTGCTGAGTTGATGTTGGGCTCAATCTTGAAGGTCTCTTCCAACCTTGATGATTCTGTGATTACTCTGAGCCCAGAAAGCTTCCAAAGCAGGAACATCACTTGGGTAAATCTCCCATTCCTAAAGTAATCTGTGGATTTTAGACATTACCCTCATCCAGGTCTTTGGTGTCAGGGCTGGCTGGGATCTGGCAGCGCAGAGTCCAGGTGCTCCAGGATCATCCCCAGGAGGGTTGGCATAGCATTGGGAATGGGAAAGCCAAGAGGGAACATCACAGCAAGAAGGGGTTGGTGCAAAGGGAAGGACATAGGAAGAGGAGCAGGACAAAGCTCGATGGGCACAGAGCCATGTCAAGGCAGGCAGAGGTGACACTGTGCTCAACATGACCCAACAGCTGCAGCACTGAGTGGAGCAGCTGAGGAGAGAGTTCCACAGCACATGAAAAGCTGGAAAGAGAACATCAGCCAAGAGAGCAAAGTGAGAGACACTCTGCTCCCAGAACACCTCCAACACCTTCATGCTCGGCCTGAGGCTCCCAGTCCCCCCAGCACAGGGAGAGCACTGGGATATGTGGATCCTGCTGTCACAGCTTGGGTTTAGCTCTACTCTAACGTCCCTTCAGTGCCACAGCAGCAAAGCTGCAACCAGCACAGCATGTTCTGTCTCCTGGAGCCAATATGGGCCACTGGTGCCAGCGACAATGTTCTGTCTGCTCTAATCCACAAGAATGGCTTGGGATGGGCTTTGGGATGAGGCCCAGAACTGCTCCATCTGCTCTGCCTCAGCAGGGAGAGCTCTGTGTTCTCCCACTCCTTGCTGGGATGTTCCTGGAGATGTCACAGCACTCCAGTCCTCATCTCAGCACTCCTGAGATGGTGCATCCCCCTGGAGCTCTAGGCTCCAGAAGGATGTCCTGCCTTTGGAATAGCCCAAGAAGTGCCTAGTGCTGGATTTTCCAGGGAGCTCTTCTCCTTGGCAGGGAGAAGAGGAAGGTTTGCTCAGGCAGGATGAGGTGCTGCCATCAAAGCAGCTCCCATGGGACAGTCCTGGGGCACCTGGATGCAGCTCTGTGCTGCCAGATCCAAACCAGCCCTGGCACCAAGGACCCAGATGAGGATTATGTGTAAAATCCACCAATAATGTGGATGTGTTTGATCAGAGGGGAGAAAACCCCCAAACCACACAGAAACTAAGAAACCAAGAGGGATTGAACTTACCTAGGAAGACGCTTTACTTTCCCTGGTCTGGAATCCAGGTTTTCCCACTTCCCTGGCCTGAGCTCACCTCCTGCTGCTGCCCACAGCACTGAATGGTATTTCTCTGCTCCTGTGCCCTCCAATATCTATATTCCAAGGATCAGTGGCTACAGCCTTGCCTGGAGCAGCATCACATCCATGCTCACACAGCAGGGCTGCACCTCAGCACTTCCAGCTGCAAATGCCACATCAGCCTGAAGTTCAAAGCATCAACTAGCTAGCTGGCTGATTCCAGCCCACACCTCTCCCACATCACCTTCCTCCTGAGCCTGTTGAGCTTGGCAAGCTGGAAGAACCAGGAAAAATCAAGCAGGATGGGGTTTAAATCCTATTCAGGGCAGCTCCTGGAGCCAGGCAGGATCACAGCCCTCCCTATGGATCAGCAGCCAGGAAAACCCTCTGGCAAACCTATAGTGCGTGGTGGGCTCCTACCCTCACCAGCTCTGTTTGGAGCATGGAATAAGCTCCACAGTCACCTTGGGAAGCCTCTTGTACTCCTCAGAACAGGCCTGGTCACAAATCCAAGGGATAATGAAAGCCCTTCGGATTCCCTGAAAATCCAAGTGATATATAGGAGACACCACTCAGGGTCTCAATAAATCCCAGCAGGGAGTAAATCAGCTCTGGTTATTATGAGTCTTATCTGCCATAAAGAG